AAAAATGAAGTGGAAAAAATCTGTCCTCATCAGTCTAGGGTTATCTATTCATTTACTCTCTTCAACATGACCTCAATCTATAACAGAAACTTTTTAAAAAGCAATTATAATTTAGATTATAATAAAAATTATATATTTTTTTATAAATGAAGTCATAAAAATCAAAAGTTTGATAAGCCTGTAGACTGTATATAATCAGTTTTTAAAAAGGGAGAAATTATGGAAAAATAATTGGAATCAGTTTATTCTTGATGGATTTTGGACGTGACCGGCGCCATTGTGCACACAATAAGCACAAAACAGCAGCCGGCCTTGTCTTCCACTCCAGCACCAAACCCCTCCCTGCTTCCCTTTAGGAGAAGCCTCCTTTTGCTTCTAGAAGAGCACAGTTCTCTACCCTGGTCGCATAGTTTCCACATTAGCATAATGACCCTCCTTGATGGTATCAGCCAGCCCTTGGGGCACTACATAAGCTCTACCACCTCCACACCTGATGCTTTCTTCCATTTTGAAGGCAGCCCCAGGCTGCCTGCCACTTTGAGCACAGCTCGGCAGATTCTTTTCCTTCAATAAAGCTTGAACAGTACCCGGCACCTCCGCTCACTTTCTTTGAATTCTCAATACCACTTTTTCAGAACTTACTGTGTACTGGTATATCTTTCTTAGTGAGAGAGACCCTTGAGGTCACCCAAACCTTGCTTCTACACTTAAGCAAACAATCCTGCAACCTATATTGAACTTTCCATTTACATCTGCCATTGTAAACATGTCATGGTTACATATAAGACAACTTTGATCTAAGATTTAGTAAATTTATCTTCAGAAAAAGTAAGAAAGACCTTTTTCAAAAGACTAAAGATTAAGCAAAAGTACTGAGATAGAGATGAAATGCCAAATGCTCTCTAAAGTAGCTTAGTGCTAGGGCTGGCCTATGGCTCACTTGGGAGTGTGGTGCTGATAGCACCAAGGCCACAGGTTCAGATCCCTATATAGGGATGGCTGGTTCGCTCACTTGGGAGACCGTGCTACTGACAACACCAAGTCAAGGGTTAAGATCCCCTTACTAGTCATCTTTTTTTGGTTTTTTTTTTTTCCTTTTTGTCTTTTTTCGTGTCCGGCAATGGATCGCAACCCTCAGTGTCACGCCCATACCGGACCGGGACCGGCAACGGGATCGCAAACCTCGGTGCTGCGCCCGCACGTCGCTCAGCCAGTGAACGGGAACCGGTCTGTATGTGGGATCCAAACCCTCGACGGGAGCACCACCATGCTCCCAAGCGGCGCACTGTAGCAGTGCGCCACCGGGCCGGCCCTTTACTAGTCATCTTTAAAAAAAAAAACTTTTTTTTTAATAAAGTAGCTTAGTGTTAATTAGAGAAACAAATAAAATCAGAGATGAATTTATGAGGCTGGGACCAATTGAAGAACAAGTTGAAAAAGGTAGAATGTATACTTAGAAAGCTGTAAGAGCAAATACTTGGGGAGATCACTGTTGTTCTAATAAGTTCACGACAGAATCTGTAAGAACACATCAAAAATGAAGACAGAAGTGACAGCCAAGTGTAGTCATTTCTTGGGGGATACAATCTGAAAATGAAAACCTTTACTATACAGGGCAAAACACAAGTTTACACTGTCAAGAGTTAATTTCTACAGAAATGAGAATTCATTAAAGATTCCAGTGAATCACTCACCTTGTAGATGGGTACCAAATCTCTAGGCTACACCAAATCCAACCATCATCTTGCCTTTCCAACTTCCCTTACTTTACAATTTCCCTTATCACTCCCTCCGAAAAAGAAATACTTCTGTGAATTTAAATTTGTAAGTGGTTTTAGAAGTTCAATATGGACAGGTGACAGAATACAAGAATTTTGCTTTTTGTCTAAATGAAATTAGTGGTTTAAAAAAATAAGTCTACTCCTAAGTATACAAGCAGAGAAAACTGTAGAACTGAAAATATGTCCACCCCAAAACCTGTACATGAATGTTCATAAGAGTATTCCTTGAAGGTCAAAAATTAGAAACAGCTCAAATGTCCATCAACTGACAGATTAAAAAACGTGTTATGCCCATACAATGGAATATTAATTTAGCCACAAAAAGGAATGAGGTATTGATACACACTATAACATGGATGAACCTTGAAAACATTATGTCAAGTGAAAGAAGCCAGACACAAAAGACCACATACATGATTACATTTATATGAAATATCCTAAATAGGCAAATTTACAGATAGAAAGTAGATGAGTGGTTGCCAGGGGCTGTGGGGACTGGAGAATTAACAGTGACTGCTGCCAGGTATCGGGTTTCTTTTCGGGATGATGAAAACATTCTGAAATTAGATAGTGGTTATGACTGTATAACTTTGTGAATACATTAAAAATTACTGGCCTGGCCAGTTAGCTCACTTGGTTACAGCATGATGCTAATAACACCAAGGTCAAGGGTTCAGATCCCCATACTAGGCAGCTGTCAAAAAAAAAAAAAAAAATCACTGAATCATATACTTTCAAAGGGTGGAATTTATGCTGTGTGAATTCTCTCTCAAAAATGTATGAAAAAAAGCCTGGAAAAAAAATAAGGTACAGCAGAAGTCTCTAAATGAATATACTAAACATATAAGTACAGCCATACATCACTTCAAAAACTTCATCAACTCTCCTGACCACAAAAGACTAATCTATTCTCACCATTAATAAATAAGACCTTGTCTCAAGTGCCAACCAGAGCAGAGCTTCTCTAACTTACATCACTGAACTCCAGAGGTAAACTCTCAGTGGGCTGAAGCTCAGCAGCACTCAAGTACAGATCCATGGGGCCGGCTTCCAGATCGTCTGGCACAGACAGTACCTGCTCGGGCTTATACATCTGAGGAGGCAACCGGAAGTGCAGTGGGCAGCAGGGATCCTCAGAGAGGCTTACAGGAACTGCTTTGCTGCAGGGTACCTCTTCAGACCCCTGGCAGCATTTGAAGAGAACCTGATTCGTATCCTGACAAATATCTGTAGAAAAATGGTCAAGGGAAATAAAAAGGCTCTATCGGAGGTACAAAATACAATAGAATTGCCTACCACGTAAAATTCAAGGTCTGAACTACACAAGATAATTACAGCTACATTTAATAAAGAAAACCAAATGCAGTTAGCAATTTTTAAAATTATTTCTCAAGATAAGTGTCATTTTCTAGCATCTATTTCTAGCTCTACCTATAATTTAAAATTAGTCCTAAACCTCCTTTTTCAGGATTCTGGTCATTTAAACTAGAGACACTAATCCTATTCTTCCATATGACAGTGCTAAGCAAGTAGCAATAACACTCCTAGGAGCATACATGTCTTCAGAAGAAACATGTCTTGGCAAATGCAAATTGTTTGCAGAAGCCACTATCAACCTCTCCCAATAGTCAAGAGATACCAATGTGGTTTCTGCTCTGTTAAGAAGACTGGCAGTTTACAAAAACTTCTTGGACCTTGTTTCCAAAGATGATTACATGATAAATGTGTTTAAAGCAGCACAGGATTGGGGAAATAAAAGCTCTAGTAATAGTCACTAGGTATTATATCCTGACAGAAAATAAAAATAAATTTCCATGCCTTTCTCTTTTTTTGCAGGGGTGGTAATAAAGGGGAGTCCTGTTATGATCCTAAAGAAAAGGAAGAAGATAATTTTGCTTATGAAGGCCCATAGAAAAGAAGCACTCCAGGAGCACTTTATAACAACTTCTACTAAACAGAAAAGGGGTATATTTCCAAGCTGGCAAAGCAGGTCTGTAGGATGAACCAAAATTGAAATGATTAGATAAAATAAAATTCAAGGTCAAGTTACTCTACAAAATACATTTTATGCAAGTGTTACCATTTCTTAAAATCTTAATTACATCTTTATTTTCCCCAGAGTAAATGTTATTTTAAACTTGGACTTATTTTTATTTTATTTTTTTTTTTAAAAGATGACCGGTAGGGGATCTCAACCCTTGGCTTGGTGTTGTCAGCACCACGCTCAGCCAGTGAGCAAACCGGCCATCCCTATATGGGATCCGAACCCGTGGCCTTGGTGTTATCAGCACCGCACTCTACCGAGTGAGCCACGGGCTGGCCTAAACTTGGACTTATTTTTAACCAGAAAATACAATTTCTTATAAACTGATTATACCAAGATTGTGGAACTGTGGGTAATTCTTATCCCAAAAATTTTAAGATAATTTTTAAAAATTAAAAAAATCTAATGAACATTATAATTTTTTAAAGCAAATAAACCTTCTTGAATAAAGCTGTATCTTTCAAACCATACTTGGAAATAGCTAAACTCTAAAGCAGAGTGTCACAACTGTGGCACTATGGACATCGTGGGCCAGGTAACTCTCTGTTGGATGTAGGATGGTTAGGAGCATGACTGGCCTCTTCCCACTAGCTGTCAGTAGCACCTCCAACCTATCCCTGTATATGACAACCAAAAATATCTCCACACACTGCCAAGTGGAGGACAAAATGGCCCCCAGTTGGGAACCACTACTCTAAAGGAATAGTAGATAGTACAATATAAACAAATATTTACTGAATAATCAAATGAATAAACATATGACTCTAATGGGAACAATCAGATTTGCCCTCTCTATGTGCTTAAGAAAATGTAAGCAATATCTAATGTACTTCAGAAGCCCAATCTTATTTATCATTTAAAATGTTAATCCATTAAATTAAATATTTCAATCAACTTTTTTGATGGAATCCAAATGCCCTTCACAAAAGTTCCTTATTTATCTAATACCACAATACCACAGAAAAACCCTTCCGCCATCCTCCTCCACCCCCTTTTCTTTCAATGGGGACAACAAAGACAAAAAAAAGGGGGGGAATGGTTGACCTACAACTACAGTCTGGGTCCTTCACTTTCAGTCCAGTGCTGTCTCCATTAGACCAGAGTAAAGAGTTAACAGGTCACCAATGGCAGTCGCATCTTTCTCTGGGGTAAAGACTTAAGGAAGGGTAAGTGACAAACAACTATGGAGTGGAAAGGAAAAGAGCAGAAAAGGAAAAAAAAATACTTCCTCTCTTTTCAAATACACTTCGTTTTCAATTTTGCTTTTTAAAATACCTGTATTTATATTCTAATAAACTATTTGAGTACAGTATTATAAAAAATGTCTAAAACAGTCCTTAATATCTGTAAACTGGTTTTTTTCCCTCATAAAAGTAATTCCAGTTCACCTTAAAAAAAAAAAAAGTATGAAGAAACAGTGAAAAAAAAAAAATCACATTTCTGTTACACTTCCTCCCAGTATTTAGTTCCATGCAGTTAAAACATACTCTACAGGATTCCATATCCTATTTGTCACTATCATCTTCCTATATTTCATAAATTTAGTTAAATGTGTTTAATTCCTGAAAATATTCCATATTACATCATGCCATAATTTACTTCCCTATTCCCCATTTCTAAAAAATGTAAGGATGTCTCCGGTTGGAAGAATATTGATCTGCATTTGATTATCTCCTTAAAATAAATTCCCAGAGGTGAAAACTACCATATCAAAGAACATGAGTATTTTCAAATTGCTTTCCAAAAAGTTTTAACAATTTATACTCCCACTGGCAATGTTTAGAAGTGACTGTTTACCGGGCCGGCCCGGTGGCGCATTGCGCTAGTGCGCCGCTTGGGAAGCGCGGCAGCACTCCCGTCGAGGGTTCGGATCCCACATACAGACCGGTTCCCGCTCACTGGCTGAGCGAGGCGCGGGGGCAACACCGAGGGTTGCGATCCCGTTGCCGGTCCCGGTCCGGTACGGGGGCGACACTGAGGGTTGCAAACCGTTGCCGGACACGGAAAAAAAAAAAAAAAAAAAAAAAAAAGAAGTGACTGTTTACCATACCCTCACCTACTTATGAAATTCATTCGCAGTCATTAAAACAACAAATAGCATAATTTTAAAATTTACTTTAAAATAGAAGTATACGTACAAATAGCAAACTTATAGATTTTAAATTTCCTTGTTTTATTTCCTATTTATTTATAATGAAGATAAACACTTTTCAACTATCAGCCACTTCTATCTTCTTTTAAATCTGTCCAGATAGCCTTTGCCCAATTATGTTTTAAGCATTTATATCGTGAGTTTTTAATTACTCTGAACAAGCATTTTATATATTAAGGACAGTAATCCTTCATCAGATGTGTAATAATTAATAAATTGGTAAAAAATTTAAACAGAACAGAAAAAAATCAGCTTTTCTGTCAAAAGACTAAGAAGGTTCTTCTCCTCCTCCTCTTCCTATTAAAGAAAATACATTTTAATTTCCAAATATCTGGTATCTCTTGCCAGGCAAATGAAATACAGCAAAATGTATGTCTTTCATAAAAAGACCATCATATTTAATTAACAAGTGCTTTTACTGTGAAAAGTAATTTTCTCAACGTCCACAATAAAGAGGGCACTTTCACAGTCCAATAAAAACTAAAAGTTCAAGCCTAATGGTAAAAGATGGTTCAGGGCCGGCCTGTGGCTCACTCGGGAGAGTGTGGTGCTGATAACACCAAGGCCACGGGTTCGGATCCCATATAGGGATGTCCAGTTTGCTCACTGGGTGAGCGTGGTGCTATTAACAGTGACTGCTGCCAAGTCAACACCAAGTCAAGGGTTAAGATCCCCTTACCGGTCATCTTTTAAAAAAAAAAAAGATGGTTCAAAGGCAAATTAATTAAAAGGAGGGGAAAAAAGTACCCCATTTTTGGAAACAGTCTCTGATTTGAATGAAGTTTAAAATATACAAGCTAGGCCCCTGACATGCAAAATGTTAATACAAAGAGGAAGTTCACAGTACAGAATCATTCTTCTGTTTTGTGTAGAAAACCTACAATAATTTTGGTAATAATTAGACTTAAAGGCATTATAATTCTAACAAACAAGTTAATCAGTGCTCTAGAGATAAATATAAACATTTTATAGATATTTTAGATTCCCAATACTAAGATTACATATAAATATTAGCCCACATCTAAAACCAATGACTCAGATGTTTCTTTCTAATGAATTGACCATTACATTTCCAAAGTTCTGAAATGGCCAACAGACCATAGAAAGACATTTCTTTAGGCTCCTGCTTGAAACCAACAGCTTCAGCAAACTGCTGGTCTTGATTCAGGGCCAAAGGAAAACAAAAAACTTCAACTAGCCCAGAGATTCCCACTGGCACTCATCTAGTTAACAAATCAGAGCCCAAACACGCAGAATAAAAAGATACGGGTAAGGCAGTGTCTGGTCATTGGAAGAGACTGATTGGAACAACGAACATCATCCACAAAGGCCAAGCACCTCTGACTGGAACGAGTGGTATGGGCCTAAAATGAAGAAAACCGATAAAACAGACAGACCCACATACAACCAATTATGATGAGAATACTTAATTATATATATATATATATTTTTTTTTTTTTTTAAAGCATATCCTTAAAGGCTAGAAAATTAAACATTTATCAAACTGATTCACCAATATTATGGAAAAGAAAAAGCATGTAAAACCTCATGTATTAAAAATGAGCCAACCCTAATCCCAAACACACCTCTCTCCACACTATAAAAGTATGATATAACCTCATGGTTTAATTGTAAACTTAAGCCTCAACAAATAAAATAGATAAAAATGAAATTACTCTTACTGAAGCACAGATCAAGGGTGGGTTTGAGAAACAAATTTAAGAATGATCAATTAACTCTTCTTCCTATCAACCCTATTTCCTGACATTGAATTGCTCCTATTCTACCTATCTTCCCATCTTTTAAAACAAGATTCCCAAGCAACTTAGACTTAACCTATGCCTATTTCTGAACTGAACATCTGAACCGAAGAACTTAGAAATCTATCCCAACCCCTCAATTTGCATATGAGAATACTGAGGCCCAGAGAAGTTAAGCTGTTTGTTCAGGCACAGAGCTGTTCAGTAGAGGACTGAGACTAGAACCCATGTCTCCTGAATTCCAGGTAAGTACTTTCACTACAACAGAAGTCCATTAAATTATATTTCAGAGCCAGGACTGGATACAGTGTTTTGACAATTATCCCAACTTTGAAAATAAAGTGAATGCACATACACTTGAGGTATATACACAAATTACCTGTTGGGCGGCACCATCTGTGGCCAGCATTCTGCGTTCCTTCAGCTGCCTGTGTAATAAGGCTTCCACTCCATAGCGCTGGCGATATCGACGGAGACATTTTAATCGCTTTAAGTTCTCTCGTTCTTTGGCCAAAAGTCCCTCTGGGCCAGTCAGGAGACTACTACCTGGAGAGTTACAAGAATCAAGATATTATTTGCCAAAGAACCCATTAAGGACACTTCTCCAAATTAACAAGAAGTAAACAAGGAAATCTTTTGCTGTGAGATAGGCAGTTTCAAAAGAAGGGCTGGCAGGTTAGCTTAGTCAGTTAGAGCAAAGTGTTAATAACACCAAGTTCAAAGGGTTCACATCCTGGTAGTGGCCACGTGCCAGAAAGAAAGAAAATTTTTTAAAAAGCAACTGTCTCCCACTCCAGACACAGACAAGTAAATCTAATTACTACCAAATTCACATGCTGAATCCGTGATAGCTTGCTGGAACAGTCATAAAACTTGCCTAAAGCTTCATGTTCCGCTTTGCGATTATGTAAATACCGGCGCTTCTTCTCCTTAAGCAGATGTTGAAGTCGTTTAAACTGATCAATGTACAAAGACTGCAAACGAATCAGCTTCTCACGCATAATCAGGGCCACTTCTTCTGCTGTATACACACCAGCATGTCTGGAATAAAAAAGAGAATTCACCAAAGCATAAGAAAACATGATAATAAAACCCAAGCTTTAAAGAAGAAAAGGGTAGAGAAGTTAGAATTAGTTTGTTATTTAAAAAGCAGTCAGTGCTGAGACAATCACCTTATTAAACAGGAATATGTTCACAGAGCATTTTACCATTCAAGTTGTTATTAAAAAGCAACAAAAAAGAAAATGCACAAGAACATGTACTAATGTGTGATCTCACAAAATGGGGGAGGGGAGATGTTTCATTATTTTTCCCAGTTATCTGCATTATATTTAAAAAGGAGTGGTATCAAACATTCTAAATTTTTATTTATCTACAATCTTATTTCATTTAATGATTTAATATGGAAAAATCACTTACCAATCAGTACAGCTGGTATTCAATTTAGTAACATGAGTCTTAATATATCTTAATTAAAGCACAAAAGATACCAACATCAAAGTATTACAACTTCTAACTTTTTTTTTTTTTTTTTTTTTTTTTTTTTTTTTTTTTTTTTTTTTNAGTCAGGATGGTAGTTTATTGAGCTCCAGCGCCAAGCATTGCTATAGCAACAAATGACTTAGCAACAGTTTTGAATAGACTGTTTCTTTGAAAGAGTTTACATAATAGGGATTACTTGGTTCTTTCTGGAAGGAACAACATAAGGACTTTTCCCCCTTTTCTTAAATATGAGGACATTTGAAGGAATAATCCTTTTTCAAAAGCTGTATAATATAGAAAGGGGGGAAAAGATGAAGGCTTTTCACTGAAATGCTAGCAGTTATATTCCCTAAGTGGAGACATCACAGGTGATTTATATTCCCTAAGTGGAGACATCACAGGTGATTTTTAGTTTTTCTTTTGGGTGCTTTTCT